TCACTGAGGATTGGATAAGAAAATTGTGGTACTTTTATATAATGGAATATTACACAGCTATAAAGAAAGAGAAACTCGAGGCTTTTGTAGGTAAATGGTCACAACTAGAGACCATACTCATAAGTGAAATAAATCAGACCTGCATGTGCAAGCAATGCACTGTCTCACTAGTGGAAAACCTGAAAGCGTGAATTAAGAACTAGGAGCTATGGTAGACACTTTGAAACGAAAGGAAAATGCTCACAGGTAAAGAGCAACTGGGATGTGGGAAAAGAGAAGGGAAAGAAGGAGAAATTTTGCATGTATGTATATACAGGATTGTTAACATAGTTGAACTACTATCTTCCTTTGCTGAAACAGTCAATGAGTCCTTGATTCAATATCGCATGTCTGTTTTCCTGAGAAACCACTTTGAAGATATCAATATGTAATACAACAAGCATTGTTAGATTCCTACCACTTTGTTTGTAATTCTGTATTGTTTGTATTGTTCTTCTGCTATTTTATAAATGGTTGTCTGTTTGTTAATGTTCTTCTTTTATTTTAAAAATAAAAAAAAGGATAAAAACACATATGACATTTAAAAATCATTCATTAAGACAAATCTAAAAACATGGTAAATATACTTTGGTGAATCGGCTAAAATGATATGTAATACAATTATAAATACATTTACCTATAGAATTCTTCTGTAAGGAAAACCAACACACAGGTATCCTCATAATGGTATTATTCGTAATAGCAAGAGACTAAATAGTACAAAAGTCTGCTATCAAAACTGGTTAAATTATTGTACATACACATAAAAAGGGAATAAGAAAGTTCTCTATATACTATATACCAGTATCTTTTTTATAATAAGAGTGGAGAAGGAAAGCACGTATTTTGACTTATAGGTATGGGAATTAGATGACTATGTAGACAAAGAAACAAACTGGAAGATGTACAATATTGTAATCTAGTTAAGAGCTGTTAATTAGGGAGACAGATAAGAAGCCAGAAGTGCGAAAGACTTTTAGTATACAATAAAAAAAAAATTTGAACCACAGGAATGTATTTCAAAAGGAAAACTTTAAAGACTATCAATTTTTAAAGATTAAAACTCAATATAACAGAACTGCTAGATTGAATGAATAATGTATGTAAAGTATATCATTGTTGCTTGTTTTACATATTTTGCCACTGTAAATTAAAACTTACTTTAAAATAACCTAAGATGCTACTCCCTAACAGTATCTATGTTGGGAGATTCCACTACAGAACTCTCTATGTCATGCAGTGTGCCATTCTTACTTTTCTTAAGGTCTTTTTGTATAATGTTACCTTAGTCTTTGTCCTCTATTTTCTCATTTTAAGGTTTGTTTTCTGTGAAGATGCTTTTGGTGGTGGTGTTTTGTTTTTAGATTCTCTCCACATTCACACAGAGATGTGGCCTAGCCTGGATCAGCATTCTCTGCCTATTATTATGATAATGCTGTGTGACTACAGATACAGACTGCAACACAGTTTGACTAAATCTTGATTTCAGCACTAACTATATGACCCCGGAGATACTTGCCTCAAACTTTTAACCTCAGTTTCCTGCTCTATAAAATAAATATCACAACTGCCTGATACAACTGTTAACATGGATTAAATTAGTTGATGTATGTAAAAGCTTTTTGGCAATACTAAGCAGTTATTAAATAGAAAACAATTTTATTACTCTTATCACAGGACTTCACTGAACTATTTGTATGTTTTTCTTTCTCTTTTTTCCTCACAACAAAGGCTCCTTTAAACATGGTATACACAACCCAGGCATGATGGTACACGCCTGTAATCCCAGTAAGTAGGAGGTTGACGCACTTAGGATCACTGTGAGCTCAGGGTAGCCTGGATTATACAGTGAATTCAAGGTCAGCCTGAACTACAAAGAGAGACCCTGTCTCAAAAAAACAAAAAATGAAAAATAAATAAAATTTAAAAATAAATAAAAATGATATATATACGCTAACACTTTCTGTAGGGCACATCTACAATGATAAACTTTGTATACCAGGGCTCAGTATCTGGTACAAACAAATCCATTATAAGTATTTCATGAAGTACTCATGTCAATACAGCAAGTGATAGCTGTGACATAAATAAGTCTTCAAAAAATCAATTCGATCTGTGATCTCAATAAATGATCACTCTTCTCTCTGAGAATGTTTTACCAACTTATTTCTCCCACAAAATACAAGTTAGCTGCCAAAATTTGCGTATTCTAGAGGAGGGAAGTATCTAGCAGTTACTTATTAAGTTGGAAAAACACTCACAAGGTTTCATTTTACATTAGCAAATTATCTTATGGTTTTCCAAATGACTATAAGTTGAAGAGTCCCAACTCTGACACTCATGTCCTAAGTAATCACATAAACTTCAAGTATTTATAAGAAGAAAAATACTGGCAATAATATGAAATAATAAATGCTAGCAACTAGCAGAGTTCCTGCCATGAAGCATACATATATATAATAAATAAAAATGATAACTTATTATCTAAATTTCAACTCATAAAGGTAAATTTCACATTTCCTCCTGAAATCTCAAAAACCATTGAAATATACTACAAGAACAAAAGTGAACCAGAACAAAAACAGGATAACCTTAAAATAATTTACCAATCATTTCCTCTATCTGTGAAATACTAGCACGTAATTCTAGTATTATATGACTAATTATATATGACGGGTGGCAGGTGAGGTAAAAGTCATACTGCTGGACTGACAGGAGCAATGTACACCATTTATTTTAATATCTGTACCTCGACATCCTGAACACTGGATAAAAAAGTTGATTAAATCCAGAAGTGCGATGTCCCTGTCTTGTTTATATGATTCAATCCAGTCGTCCACCACGGACTGTAGAAAAAAAATATAAAAATGAAATCTTCGAAAAAATTTTACATTATAGCAAATAAATTTTGAAAAGGTGTATGTGTCTGTGGGTCTACTTGAACAAGAAAACTACTTACCTGTAACTATTTATCTGTAGCCAAATAAAAGCAAAAATTCTCTCTTTCAGGCCAATAATTAGGTCCTAAAGATTTGTTGATAACACAATAGAAACATGACTATAGCAATACCATGAAGTTCAATAATTAAGTGTAAATCATAATATGAGAACCATATTCTAAACAAATAATACAAAAATTAAACCAACTTCATGTAGATAAAAGTTTCCTAAGTATCAGAAAACCCAACCCACTAGTAGTGCATACAAGAGTGCACACTACATGTAACAAAATGCATTTTTCAGAAGTACAAGGATGATTCAACATTTGGAAATCAAATAACCAAACTATCAACAGAGTAAAAAGAAAAAAGGAAATAATTTATTATTAGGATTCAAAAAGTATCTGATAAAATTCTGCATCCAGTTCTAATTTTAGAACAATTATAGAAAAACTGAGTAGATGGATTCTACTCAAAGACAATAAAGAAAAAAGATTAAAATATATTTGGTTTTGGAATACTTTAAAGACATTTCAAATAACAAAGAAATAGGTAAGACTGCCCCATTAACCATTCAACACACACTTGAAGTGTTTAGTTAATGCAACTATTAGTAAAATACAAGTAAAGACAATTGCTTCTCCCTACAAGCAAAGCTAAGTCTACTGAAATGAACTAAATGAGTCAATTTGACAAGATCATTGACAAGATAAATGTACAAAATAACCTTTTAATTCTGCAACAATTATAAAACATAAATACAAATGAAACTCCCCAAAAGCTTACAGGATATTAAAAAATGACCACAAAGATTAACATGTTCTGAATTTAAGGAAAAAAAAAAGTTTAGTCCTATATCTCTATATAGTCAAGTCTTTGCAACTTGTGACCTTTCTGATGTGATTCTAGTTGGCATTCCAGGTGGCAGAATTATGTGGATTTTTCTGGGGTAGGAGTGGTAGACAATTGTCAGAGGAAGTGTATAAAAAAAAACTTTTTAAAAATGTAAATTTGTGTATTTTACATGTAGTAAAATGTGCAATGTGTGATGTATGGTGAATTTTTACACACATGCCCAGCTGTGTAATCACAACTATGAAAAATATCAAACAGTTCCAATATTAAAGCATGTTCCCCGTACTCCTTCCCCAAACCATCCTTCCTGTTTCCTTTCAGCCACATAACAGTAACAGCCACAGTGTTTCCCATATTAGTAATTCCTTTCTGTATCTCACTGTATGAATGTGTCACAATGTACTGTACTACTCATTCTACTGCTGAAAGCCGTGAATACTACTTCCAATTTAGGGCTATTACAAACAAAATTGTTAGAAACATACTATACATATCTTTTGATGGACATACACATTCCTTTCTGGAATACTGGGTATATATAACCAATAGTAGACTTGTTAATACCTAGGATACACATGTCAAGGCTATGTAGACTATGCCAAACTATTTTCCAGAGCAAGTATAATACATTTTATTTTCACCAACAAAGTACAAGCAATAAATAAATTTCCAGTTACTCTACATCTTTATCAATATGAAGTATTTTCAGTCCTTTTAATTTCACCCAAGGTGGTTGGTCTTGCCCCTTTTCTCTCATACTCTTTATAAAAAAGAACCATCTTTCCTTCTTTCATATACAGAGAGAACACTTTTTGTATGCACTACTGTCTTCCTATCTCATCACAATAGTGTCTTGGAGGTTTTGTAAGAAAAATAAACACAATTAGACAAATATTATGGTGGTAAAAGACGGTTAAAAAAGAAAAAGAGTAACAGTAACTGTCTAAATTCCTGCTCATCTACAATTTGTAATTGCTAAAATGTGGAAGCAACTGAAATGTCCATCCACCGAGGACTGGATAAGAAAATTGTGGTACTTTTATATAATGGAATATACTCAGCTGTAAAGAAAGATAAACTCGAGGCTTTTATAGGCAAAAGGTCACAACTAGAGACCATACTCATAAGTGAAATAAATCAAACATACATGTGCAAGCACCGTATTGTTTCACTAGTGTAAAACTTGAAAGAGTTAATGTAAACTCGGAGGTATGATAGACACTGTAAAATGATAGGAAACTGCTCAAGAGTAAAGGGCAACTGGGATGTGGGAAAAGAGAAGGGAAAGAAGGAGAAATTTTGTATGTATATATGTACAGGATAGTTAACATGGTTGTTCTTCTGTCTTCTATTTCCACGCTGAAAGAAACTGTCAATGAGTCTTTGGTTGACCAGTATTGCATTTCTATATCTGTTTTCATGAGAAGCCACTTTGAAGATATCAATATGTAATACAACAAGCGCTGTTAATTCTCTACCACTTTGTTTGTAACTCTGTATTGTCTGTACTGTTCTTTTGCTATGTTGTAAAATGTTGTCTGTCTGTTAATGTTTTTCCTCCTTTTATTTTTTAAATAAATAAATAAATAAATAAATAAATAAATAAATTCCTGCTCATCTAACTAATGGTTCAGACCTCATGAACTCTCTCAGGATGATAAGAACAAGGCAAGAATGACTTAAAACTCAGAGCCCACATCAAAAAAGCACAGTGACCTAGCTAACAAAGTATAGCACAAAGCAAAGATGCAATTTCTACATGAGCCCAGCAACGTGAAGGAACTCTCAACATCATAAGACTTTCTTTACTTCTCCAAATTACAGAATCATTTTATGTTCCCAACCATTACATGGAAGAGCCCAAAACATTCTGAGTAAGACTTGTATGTTGGAATTTGCACTAGAAATATCAAAACTTACTACAAAGGCATTAAATACAAAATAAGTAAGGTAAAAAGAACGAAGTTTAGATCTATATATAGAGAATTCAACCGGTAACAAAGGAGATACTTCAATTTTAGAAGGCAAAGGAGTTTATTAATAAATATTGATGATGTTGGTTATGTAACCATAAATAAAATTATAGCACCTAAAGCTCTCAGAAAGTGTAGAGACAAGAAATCTAAAGAAGTAAACTCCACAGAGCCTTTCTTGTATTGGCAGACTGGTATCTATTAGAAGTGGCTTGGACACTGACAGTTATAATACAAAGGGCCTTGACTGGGGTAAGGACTGGGGAAAAAAAAATGGAATGAGAGGAGAGAAGGGAGGGGAAAACTAGCAAAACAGCCAGTCATATAAAGCACCCATAATCAAACTTACCGTACATCTTTAGGAAAGAGAAAAATCTTGAAGTGGCCAGATGGCACATATGGAGGAACAAAGAATAAGAGACACATAAAGAACATAACCACATAAAGAATAATACAGCCTGGCAAGGTGGTACATACATATAACCCCAGCACTGTGCAAGCTGAGGCAGGAGGACTGTGAACTGGAGGCTGGCCTGAGCTACAAACCAAGATCCTATCTCAAAAACAAACAAAACCAACAAGTGCAGGCAAGCTCATGGATAATGGAATATATTTAAAGTACTGAAAGACAAACCTATCCATTTTACCCAACTCTTACTCAAAATAACTCTTCCAAATAAAGGCAAAGCAAAAGCATTTCAGAATATAAAGGTAAAAGAATAAATAAGAATAAAACCAACCAAATGGACAAAACACCTTTTTTGAAAGATAGAGATGTCCAGAATGGATTAAGAAAAAAACAAAACAAAAAACAAAAAACCCGACCAGTATGCAGACTGTAGTTGTAATTATGACAAAAGATGGGGAGAGCAAATGCCAGTATTGTATTATTTGAAAATAATCTCACATAAAAGTCCTAAGAAGTCAGACAAAACAAAAGTATGTTTTCCAACACCATGTATTTATTTGACTTTCAGGACACAAATTACATGTATTTTCTTTGGTTTAACATAGTGTAAGAAGGAAAAAAAATACATACACACACCTAATAGTTAAGGTAGTTATACCGCTAACTGCTATTAGTTCACTGAAAAGAAAGGTTTATGCCTACATTGTTTGATCAACCTTTTATGCCTATACATATCTTGTAATAGAGCAATGACTTTGAAGATAACAATATTCAACGTACTGACAGTTTACTCTCCTACAATCTTGTTTTGAAATTTTATACCATTGTTTTTATTGTTTAGTTTCTTTTCTTGAAACTAAAAAATATTTTAATTTGAAGAACTAATAAAAATAAAAATGAAACAGTTTATCAGCCAGTTATAGTAGCGCAGACTTGTAATCCCTGCAGTCTGAGATGCTAAAGCAGGATGACTGAAAGGTCAAACCCAATCTGGTACTTAGTGAAAGAAACCCTGTCTCAAAGTTAAAACAACAAACAAAGTTAAACAAACAAACAAACAAAAAACTGAGGATGTAGCTCAGTGCAAAGGTGCAGGGTGCCAGCTCTACTAAAGAGCCAATAAAAAAAGGAAAGTGTACCTGTAATTTTCACATTGTAAAAAATTTTATACAACACTTTAAAGAATTTCCAAAGGCAACTGCCTAGCCATGTTCAGATGGGTGAATTATAAAAACATAATGTGTGATCTAAACGTACAGTGAATGTTTACATTTCAAAAAATGTATTACAGTAAAAAACATGTTGCCATAAATCCTCCCCAAAATATTTCCCCTCACTGCAACCATATTTATCCCATCATTCTTATCACTTTGTGAAGCAGTTCTAGAAGTCCTTTTTCATCAGTGTCTTTGGGCTGCAAAGTCACGATTGTCTCAGTATCACAAATTGATTAAAAACTTTAGCCTTTCATGGTCATTTTGACATTGGCAAAGAGCCAGAAGTCACACAGTGCCACATCTGGTGAATAAGCCTGCCTTTCTTTTGGATGGCATATAGCAGCAGCATTTACTCAATTTTTTTTTTTTTAATAGAACCTCATGAAAGAGCTACAGAACTACTTTAAAAAGGGGCAAGAACAACTGATAAGTGTGTTTGAAGCAAGGAGCAAG